ACACATTCATTCATACACTTATGACTACATGATCATTTTTTATTAAGATAAGGTGAGACATACACATACACAGAGTGATTGCAAAGCATACAGCATACATACAAGCCGATTCAGCGGGTGCTCAAGTTGTACTTACCGGCTGGTCGCTTTGTGAGTCGGCGATTCGCCAAGCAGAGCCAAGACCTTGGCGCTGTTTTCCTCGCTGGCACCGTCAAATGTTTTCAGCGGCTCCTGGATTGTGCTCTGGTGCCACAGGTAACTAATGGGTGAGCTGGCAGGCCTTTGGCCCGACTGCCCACTGATCTGCTGCAGTGCATCGGAGTTGATCTCACATGCACCGGTTAGGATTTCCACGCTTTCGCCTAGACGTGTACGCAAATCCTCGATCTCGCACTGTAATGCGCTAATCTGTTGAGATTTCTCTTCCAGCATGCGAATTGAGTTGCTCCGCAGACTTGCGGCCTCCGCCTCGAGCTCCACGTATTGCTGTTCCAGCATATCGCGCTCATCGATTGGCGACAGCCGACCATCTTTGCTGAATTGTTCCTCATATTCCCGCACCTTCTCCATCAGCTCAGTGAACTTTTTGTCGCTTTCCAGCTGCTCCTCTTCGTATATGTGCCGCTCTTTGTCAAACATTTGACGTTCCTCACTTAGTTTGGCCTGCCAGTAATCTTCGCAGTCCTCATAAGCTCGCTGCATTTGCTCCAAACTGATCTCTAGCTCCTTGCAGCGTGTCTCCGGCGGCGTGGCACGGCTGCTACTCTCCGTTGACTTGGCAGTTGCCGCCTGTAGATCTTGTTCCAACTGCTCTATGGTTCGCCGTAGCGAAGCGATCTCCTCCTCGTGATTCTTACAGCGTTGTAATTCCGAATTGAGGGCTAGCCAATCGCCGCTATTATCACTAACCTCGCCTGCCTCTGAACACTTGCGCTGTTTTCCCAGCCGCGGGCTTTCCCCAGTTATGTGCGGCTTGCTTGGTGAGTCACCTCGCCGTTTCGTGGCCAGCGCAACGCTTACAGCCTCCAGCTCTTCGCCTTCGGTTGACTCCGCAGCAGACGCACTCGCAGTGGCAGGCGAAGCAGCTTGCTTTTTTCTAGACTTTGTGCGCGCCAGATCAACGTACAGGTTCTCGATTTCCATTGTCAGCTCATCAGTTTTGTCGCGCAGCTGGGCGTTCTCCATTTGCAATGCGGTCATCTTTTCCATAACGTGCAGCATCTCATCATCGTCAGACGACTTATCTCGCCCGATGACAGCATGATCGTTGTTTTCTGATTTCGTTTCGGACCGAATGGGCTCAGACATGGCCAATTCCTTGTTCAACTTAATGTTTTGCTCCAGTAGCTCAGTCATTTGCAGATGGACCTTCTGCTGCTCCATCTCCAGTTCGCTATTTTCAGTGCGCACCAGTTCCAGCTCAGTCTTCAGCTTAATCTCCTCTTGCTCGAGGCTCTTAATCTGAGCTTCCAGTTTTGCTGTCATGCTGGTCCAATGGTCACGATCGCTTGTAATACGCTGTGTCAATTCGCGCACCATACTCGCATGCCGTTGCTCCAGCTGTTGCACCTCCTTTTTGCAGTTGTCCTCCAACATGGCATGCCGCTCATCCACCTCGGCTGCCAACATCGCCACGCGCTGATTGGCCGCCTTGTTATCGGATCGCAGTTTCTGATTCTCTTGATATTGCTGACGATATGCCTGACGCAGTGAGCCCAGTTCCACAGCTTGCAGCGCTATTAGCGCACGCAGCACATTCGTATTTGGATCGTGCTCCAGGCCACGCAGCTCTTCCTCAAGCACTTTGGTCAACTGATTAATGTTCACCTCCTCATCCTCATCGTCGAAGCCCAGGGCATGCAATAGACCCACACTATTAACGATATTCGCCATTTCCCAGGTCTCAATAAGGCTGTGCGCACTGATCGTCTCCAGCTGATGTGGCGTCATCATTTCTGCAAGCATGAAGACTATTAATAATATAATTACGACACACAATAATTAATTAAAGCGTTAGCAGTTGAAATCCATAATAACAGATGACAGCTGTTTGCCAAAACTATAGATTTGACCGTATCTCTAAAGCTGGAGAAGCTAATGCTAATGATCAAATATTCCTTTTGCTTTCTATATATTTATATTCATTTCAATGCATTTATATTCATATTCTGTCTTCTGGCTTTTCAACTGCAGCTCAAACATATCCACACAACAGCATGCATTTGCATAATTATAATTTGGATCTTGTTCCAAGTGTTATATAGCGAGAGACCACACACATTGTGTTATCTCACTCTGCACTTACCCAGCGATTCCACGCTACTGCACTCCTTTTGTGCCTCTCTAAGATTACATTTTTTGCTGCTATTACCGACTTGCGTACCTACTGTCGAGGACGTTGTGGCGCTCGTTGTGGCTGATGTTGTCATCATTTTGGAGTGCATATTTTTGCGTGCCGGTAGCGAGGCGCAACGCTTGAGCTTGCTGCCGCTGTAGTGGACGGAGCGCAAGACTCGACTGCCAGGAAGATCGCTTTGTGAGGATGACCGATGCACCTAAAAGGAAACGAATTGATTAATAAACAGAAATGGACAATCACTTGTTGTTGGCCAGCGTCTTACTTGAACGGTGTGATCATTGCAGCCGTTTAGGCTCTTGTGCTGATCCTCGTCCGTATTGTCCGAGTCCGTAACGTCGAGACCTAGAATCTGATGTGGCCGTGAGCGACGTCCATATTTCTTGGTGCCCACTATCAGCTTGGGAGAGACCTCACGATCGGAAGCGTCGCCCTCGTGATGTATCTCAGAGTAGATTTTGGTAGCTGACTCGTCACTGATCACCAAGGAACGTTCTGTAAAAGAGCAGAAGAATTTTAGTGATTTATTTGTGATATTCTCCTGCGGTGATTTTGTCTACCGAAACGAGCCGCCAGCTTTTCAATAATAGGATCTGCGCAACTCTTGCGCTGCTTGTAATATAATCGTGTGCCCATTCTGTCACTTTGAGCAACTAATCGCAACTGATGTGCGAACCCTTAGAACCAAATGTATTTAAGTGCTCCATTATTGTTACCTGACCAAGCAATCAAAATGCAGCGAACTGCTAATCCTGCTGCACCCCTCATAAAATGTGTAATTTTAGGCACACGGAACGTTTTATGACTGCCAGGTGACGATAATGGTTAGGTAAATTTGCAGCTTACCTTTAAATCCAGATGCTGTGCCCAATGCGGACCGCGACGAGCTCTCGAATTCGGGGCCCAGAAAGTTCAGTAGCGCCACCTTAAACTGTTCAAATGAAACGCCCAACTTGGAGCTGGGACAGCTCGCAGTTAGGCTGGAGATCAGCGCCGAGCCCTGGTCACGCAACTGGAGCAACTGGCAGAGGCGTGTTAGTGAGACTTCGTCGAGCAGGCCATTGTTACGATCTGATGTCTCACAACTCTGAAACATCTGATACAATTTCTGTTCGTATGGATCATAGGGATCGGCCGATACTTCCATTATCTAAGCGCTGCTGCTGCTGTGTGTGTGTGTGTGTGTGTGTGTTATCCGTAAGTTCAGTTTATGGCCGTTATCTAATTGTTTATATATATGTGGGCTTGATTAATAACCAAAAGAGACATTCAATATACAAGACACGTCAATTGAATAGCAATTTGATGAGCTAAGCTCGCGTTCTACAATATAAGTTAGCAAAAGACTCCACTTTTCTCTGCGACTAAATAATGAACAAAGAATAAACCTAAAACGAAGCTATTTATCAAAAGAACAATTCTTGGACAATTAACTAATATTTAATAATAGATATGTTTGCAAATTAAATATAGCAATTAAAAATTAAAATTAGATTCGCTCTATCTTGTGCAGTAACATTAATATGTTCGTATGTATGCGGGTAAATACATACATTTTTCATTTGTATAATTCATAAATGTTTTACAATGTATGGGATCATTGATATGAATTCTTCGGTGTATGATGAGGTTTTGGATTAATTCTGCATGGATATAACAATATGTAGTTATATAAATTTTATTGCATTAATACACTGTATTTATACATTTGAGGTGAAATCGATAAAGGCTTCCAGTGTGTTGCAGTTGTAAATTCAGCCTCGGCGTTTCAGGAGTATGTTTGCAGTATAAGATTTAGTTATGTATGTTTAATCAGCAATTTGCACGTAAAAAGAACACAAAAGAAATATTGCACAGTCAACGATTAAGCATTAAACACGTAAATTTTTTGTGGTTTGTGAGTTTTTATAAAAACAATGTATTATAGCAAAAAGACTAAAACATAGGTGTAGAGAGGGGGCTGTGAACTTATCGATATATTTCGATGTAACTATTTAACATACCCAAACAGTATTTTGATAGACTGTTTATGCCGATTCCATTTTGTTCCCAATAAGCAACATCTATTATAACTGTGTTGTCAATCTTAGGACTATGCAAATGATTTCCTTTAAAATTAATAAAATAATTAAAATATAAGCTCTATTAAATATTATAGTACACGTACTCTATGATTTGTCACTTTTTTAATCGTGGAAGTAAATTAAGTCGTTAATAGAATTGTCGAGATTATTATGGGGAACCTCTTGAACCACTTTGGTTGTTTTTTACTTTCAGGGCTTCAAGCAACTGGTTTAGAATCAATAGTAAATCAAAGTTTCGGATAAGAATTTTGAATTTTCACGCTTCATATGTTTCTTAATATGCATTCAATTAACAGCAACGTTTCCTTATTATCTATTAATTCTAAAGACTTGTCCAGTTAATTTACTTATATAATTAAGACGCAGCAAAAGAAAAAATGTGTGTTTATTAAAAATTATGGTAATCAATTTTTTTCAAACAGGTATGTTAAAATTTTTTATTAAATTGATGGGGGAAAATCTAGATGTGTTATTATTTTACATTTTCTTATAGGAACACCCCTCATAGAATTTAATGAAATCTACCAGTGTTGCTTATTGTGTTATCGGTTAGCCGCCATGAAACTGAAACGATAGCTTATCAACTCCACAGCGACATAAAAAACATTAAAATAGAAGTAAATTTTTGTTGAATTGTTGAAAGTTATTGAATGTGAACGCAATAATATTACAAAACATTTAATCCGACTGCAGCAAAGTATATAGATTGACTTTTAATTGTCGTTTAAATATATATACACCCCCACCTCCGCTACGGCCTCGGTCAAAGAGCAGTGTAAATAATTTTGTATTATTACGAAACTTGTGTGTACAAATGCAAATGCTTTTAAGGTACAGCTAAAGTCTAGATACCACTCTGGCTGCACATCCATCAGCATGGCCATGCATTCATATATGCGGGCCAACCCGAACCAAACCCAAACAAACAGTGTCAATGTGAATTTGAGTCCCGACGAGGTGAACAACTTCCTAAAGGACAAGCAGGCATGGGAACATGCAATATCGCTCTACCAGGGCCCTGATCCACTGGATCACTGGTACAACTACATCTGCTGGTATGAAAACCATGCGCACAGCGACCCAGATCGCAAATTTCGCGAAACGCTCGAGCGCTGTCTCACAGTCTACGAGCACGACGATTACTACAGGCAGGACGTGCGGCTAGTGCGCCTGTGGCTTAAATACATTGCCATGCAGACTGACCAGTTGCGATTCTATCAGGTGCTCTTCCAGCGCGGCACTGGACGCCAGGTGGCTGCATTTTACATAGGCTGGGCCAGTTACTACGAGGCGCACGAACAGTTTAAGGACGCCGAGGCAGTATTCAATCTGGCTTTTCAAGAGAAAGCCCATAGCAGTGATGAGCTTCAAAGTGCCCATGCCAAGTTTACCTATAGCCGCTCAATGTTTTACCAGCAGCAGCAGCAACAGCAACAAGTGCAGCAACTGCAGCAGCAGCACCAACAACAACACCAGCACCAGGCGCCGCCTCCCCATGACGCACTGCAGCAGCTAACAGCATACACACAAAGTCATCACCAGCAACAGGAGCATCAACACCAGCATCAGCAGCCAGTCTATCCACATCCTGCGCCAGCCACAGCATTAAGAGCCCATCATTTACATCAGGAGAACTTTCATCAATATCAGCAGCATCCCCAGGAGCTAGCCTATCTGCCCCATATACATGGCCAACAGCCACAGCAGCAACAACAGCCACCGCCTCCAACTCACTACCAGCAACAGGAACAGGTAACGTTGACTAGATTTCATTTAATGTGCATCACTCAGCTCATCGAGTCTCTTTAAACTGTTACAGCCGCCTCCTGCGGTGGCAGCACGCTTTGAGCAGCAGTTTCATCAGCCCGCACTTGCTGCTGCACCCAATCAAACGGTGGCACATCCACACTACTCACCCATCTTGCACCAAAATAGAGTATGCAACTTTATTAATGCCTCCCACATGATAACTAAATACCTATTCTTCTCTTTTAGCCCGCCACAAACACAAACACATGCTATGAAGCACAAGCACAAGTACAGGGACAGCTTGAGCAGGTGGCGTTGCCTGCCACCTCCAACGAGGCATATCCACAGCAACAGGCACAGCCTGCGGATTCTCTGACGGAAGTGGGCGGCGTGCGTTTGCCGCGCAATTTTCATGCTTATGGGCGCAACAATCACGAGACCTGGAAGCCGGCACTGACTCTAGAGGAGCCAGACGATCCCTCGCGCGTCTGTCACTATGCCAAGCAGCTGGTTTATCCGGCCGGAGCAGGCATCGAATATAGTCCGGAAGAGCTGCTGGCCCGCAAGTATATCGAGCTGCTGGAGCAGCGCAAGCAACTGGCGCAAGCGCAAGCGCCGCTACAGTCGCTAAATGTCAAAGTACAAGAGCCTGCAGAGCATGACCAGCAACTAAAGAAGGAACCTACCTATCCGGCTGGACAGGCTGGACAACAGCAACAGCAGCAACTATACGATTCCTATCAGACAGAGAGATCCTACTATATGTCGGAGGTGAATGGCGAACTCTATGCGCAGCACACTGAAGGAGCAGAGGAAGTAAATTCTGAGCCCGATGAGGACGACGAAGGTGAAGAGCAATCAGAGGAGGAGTCGGACGAGGAGGGCTCCGATCAGCAGGACCATGATGCAGAGCCCGTCAACCAGGAATACAGCAATGGCGTCGATGGCAACATGCATTTCAGTGCCAAGACAACGTTCGAGGAGCAGAATCGCTCCATCAAGATTAAGTTCAAGAAGGAACGCACGCTGGAGAGTAGCACATACAGTGCTTATAAAATCGAGAGCATTTACCATCAGCAGCAGGAGCTGCCTTCGCCGGCGCCCGAGCCTGTAGCAGTGCCTGCGCCGGCTCCTGCTGTCACGCCCATACAGAAGCTTGCCGCTTCGCCCAAAATTGTGCAGGACTGGAGTGGAGCGACTGCAGTGCCGCGCCAACGCAACGGCAACCATCATTTCCATCCGTATATGCTGGGTCAGACCTCGACGCCAAAGAGCACAGCGAACGAGAGTCGACGTGCTCGTTCCAAGGCGAAACAGAGCAAGTTTCAGCGGGAGCTGTGCAGCAACAGCAACTCGTCCTGCTCAGTGCCCGATCAGGTGGCGAATGGCGTGGACACTGGTCCAGGCCATGCGGACTCAGAGGCTGCTGCGGCGCCCATACACAACGCTACCTTCAATGACAACGCCAACTTCTCGTTCTCCAGCGCCGGGGGCCATGACAATTCGAACAACTCGCTGGCTTTAGCCGTGGATGGACTGCATGTGCGTGATGCCTCCCACTTGGCTTGCGGTGGCAACAACAAGTCCCAGCATGCCACCAACAACAATAACAACAACAACAACATGACGACRACACAAACCGCCACAAGCAACGCGGACTTTTCCACATTTCAGGAGAACTCGTATTTCGCCACGCAGCACGACTCGGAGGCACAGGAGCGTCGTCTGTCCAAGGCCCTGGAGACAATCGACCGTCATATGGAAAAGGTGGCCATCGATCCGTTTAACAGCGAATTGTGTCGCGCATTCTTGACCAAACTGAATTTCCCGGGAGACAACGATGAGCACGCCAGCTACAAAGTGGTGCAGACGCTACTGCCAAAAATCTCCAATACGCGCACCCTCAACGTGTTGGACAGTGTGCAGTTCAATATCGACAAGGAGGTGGGTCGCGGCTCCTACGGATCTGTCTACAAGGCAACCGACACGCGCTCCGGCAACCTGGTGGCACTCAAGTACCAGAAGCCCCCAAATTCTTGGGAGATCTACATATGTGATCAGGTAAATATTCTGCTTAACAATAAATATTTAATATAATTAATACGGAATTTGGATCTTTGTTTGTATAGGTGCTCCGCCGCATTCGGGATCCGCAGGTGCTGCCCGGACTGATGGACATATCAACGGCGATCATAGCGCCGAATGCGAGTCTAATTGCCACCGAGTTCTCGCCCTTCGGTTCGCTGCTGGACATCAATAACAAGATACGTCAGGCCACCACGAAGGTGATGCACGAGTCCCTCGTCATGCACTTCTCGGCACAGATCTGCAACATTGTGGATCACCTGCACAAACAGCACATCATCCATGCGGACATCAAACCGGATAACTTTCTGCTGATGCGTGTGCCGAATGTGGACAGTCCGGAGCCTTCGTTGCGACTGATTGATTTCGGTTGCGCCATCGATCTGTCGCTCTTTCCCGACGGCGAGCGCACCAAGTTCCGCAAGGTGGTGCAAACGGACGGCTTCACGTGCATCGAAATGCAGGAGGGGCGCTCGTGGTCCTTTGAAACGGATCTGTTCTGCATTGCCAGCACAGTGCACGTAATGCTCTTCGGGGAGTACATGCAGCCGGAGAAGCGCACGGCCGGCTGGGAGATACGGCAAAAGGTGCCACGATATCTAAAGAAGCACGTCTGGTCCAAGTTCTTCAGCGATCTGCTCAATATGCAGGCCGATAAGCTGCCCCAGCTGCAGCAGATGCGCGATATCTTTGAAAAGGAATGCCGCCTCATGGACTCTGAGCTACAGAAACAAATACGCACACTCTCTAACATTCTGCATCGGCGATAACCAATGAGAGCTTTCTCCTCATCCATATTACAATCATTTCAATCGTTGTGCACTCGAGCTAATTTCGTTTTTATTTTTATTTTTTGTTTTTTATTTTGTTTTGAATATTTTGATAACAATTGAAACACTTTAATTTTGAGTACACTCAGTTTAGTTCCGACTAAGAGGTGTTATTAATTATGCTCACATTTCAAATATGATCTATCCATATTGACTACGGTTAGATTTCAAATACGATCTTGAAATCGATCATACCTATGATCTAAACTGACTAAGAGAATGAATACTTGCATTAGCGTGCACAACTTTTCTAAGCATAGAACACTCTCTATACCAGCTGAGCATTGTTTAATTTTAAATGAAGTAAAAGCTGAGCATACATTTTTATCATTAGTTTTATCTCACAAGCAGAAGCAGACGAAATTGTATTCGGGCAAACAAAACTATACCAAAAGATTAACAATTATTATAATGCACTATATAATTTTTGATTATATTTCATATCATACATACACATACGTACTGTATATAAGGCCTATAAACACTCTATTAGCAAGTTCCTGAATCTAAATTCTCCTAAAGGGAGTCCGTGACTTGCAAATAACTTTCTTTTGTTTTGGTTTTTCATCTGAAAATGTTGTTTGACGTACGTATGAATCAATTGAATCAGTGGCCTCTGCAGCTAGTTGAACTTATTGAATATTTAACATCTGGTAAGTTTCAGACCAAGAAATATCCTAAAGTCAGGATATGGCCTGGGACACTAGTCAATTACGTAAAGCAACATAAAACACCGTTAAGTTAATGCATTACAACAACCGATTCTTCTTGAACAACAAGACTATGCTGAATACATTTGATAAAAACACAATATAGATTGAGCAATTCGAAAAGCATATTTCAAGTCTATAATAATAATACATATAATACGGACCACCAAAAACATCCAATTTTGCGTTCTATTCGATTTCATATTAATTACTTAAGTACATGTAAATACTTATAGAGCACAATGAAAAAGATCGTGCAAATAAAGAAATCAACAAAAAAAATTAAAAATTTATAATTAATAATTATAATTTTTGTATGTACAGAAGAGACAGCAGACAAAAAAAAAAAAACAAGTAAAACACAGAACAAATAAGTGTCTAACGCATTGTAAAGTAAATAAAATGTAATATTTAGTAATACGCAAACTTTAAATGATAGATAATAAATTGGAAAAATGTTAAATGAAAAAACAGAAAGCATTTCATCTATTTTGGGGTGTGCTCGACTAGGTATCACTTGTGGTAAAAGGTACAACTGTACCAACAAAGTTGTACTGTAATTAAGCAATGGTACATCGTACTTTTTTCAGAAATATCCCTTTGACAATCAACACAAATGCATTACATTTATTCAATTCGTATATTCCTACTTTTTAGTTTTTGTTATTATTCTGAAAATCAAAAATGAAATACGTTAAAACGAAAACAAATAAAAATAGTTCAATAGCTGTACTCATTTATGTACAAATGTAGTACTTTTTCATATGTTAGGTACCGCACCTTTATTTTGAGCTGGCAACGCTGTCGGACCATTCAAAACTTGCCGTTTTAAAAATCAAAACCAATTGCAAAACAAGAAACGTAACAAGTAATCGATACTTATCGCTTTTAGTTCGATTTAATAGTGCATACTTATGTACATACATACATATATTTACAATTACATATATTATACCCTTGGATGCTCACTTTAAACGAGTCTAGCTTGGAAAAAAAAGAAAAACAAAAAGAAAAGAGAAAATTATCGTTGCAGCCTATTTTTGCAAATGAAATGCAAATGTCAGTGCAGAAAAAATGCGAGAAAAAAAAATAGAGAAAAACAAAGACGGCAAACGAAATTCACAATTTGGCCTGCTTGGCAATTGTCAAGTAAGTGCCACAAAGCGCGCTGTGCAACATGCACGACAGCCGTAGACGTTGCAATAGTGTGGCAACAATGCTGCGCTTGACCCACTTTTCCTTTTTGCCAACAGGCAACGGTAAACAATTTCCACCAACCAAGCGACTGGAAAAAGTTGCAACTTTTCATGCAACACACCAACACAAGCGCTCACTCGTTCACACACACAACACACACCACACACACGCAGACATTTTTACCCAACGTCACAAAGTCAAAGTCGACGTCGCTGCTAACGCCGGTCTCTATTGCCGTGTGGCGTCCGCCATTGCCGACGCGCCGTCGCCGTCGCCGTTGCAGTTGCCAACGAATTGCGGTTGCAGCAGTTGCATTCGCATTCGCATTCGCATTCGACTCTCGCCAAGTGAAAGTAAAGTGGGACAAATGTAATTATTATTGCTTCTAGTAACCGTAACCGAGTTAGAAGCCTCGATTGCGGTTGGAAAGTTGGCAAAAACGTCGACATTAGCTTTTACACAATATTTTATTCAATCAAATTGCAAAGAGAAAATTGCAGCAAATGCTTGCAACAGCAGCAGCAGCGGCATCGGCGGCGGCGGCAGTGGCAGCAACAGCAGCGGCAACTGCATCAGGCAAATAATGCAACACGTAAACTTTCTATTTTTTGTGTGTCGGCTTCGACGTCAACTTTGATTGCAATACACACACACACCCACACAGCTAAACACACATTGCTTAGCATAAATGCACGCACACATAGATATTTGCATACATTTCTGTGCAAATACATGAATCCCTCTCTCTCTCTATCGGTCCATCTCCCCCTGTCTGTGTGTGTGTGTACATTTTAGCATTTGTTGTTTGCCGATTCGTGTTGCATGCATAAATTAATAAATGTGTCCCACATTTGCTTTCGGTTCGGAGTTTGAGTGACAAATTAGGTTGCCTCTGCGTGAAATTTCTATGTGCACGCGTGTGTGTGTGTGTGTTTGCTCGTGTTTCTTGTGTTTGTGTGTGAGTGTAAGTGTGTGTATGTGTCAAATAGAATTGGGTTTCGAAAGTAAAGCAGTGCGCATAACAATTCGACTCGGCTTAGACAAAATCAACGGCGATCACGAACGGTGCAATCAATTAATCTGACAATGATAACGTTATTGATAAGAATTAAAATTGATGGCTAGCAGTTACAATAAACTTCAACTATGTGCATATTGTATATATGTCTATGTATGTATGTTGAGTGTTTGACTTTTACAAACTTATTTGTAGCTTGCCAATTTCCTAGCAGATGGGCAAAACAGCTCAAGTTTTTACAGTTATATATAGTTATACACATTTTTAAAAACAATTTTTTAAACAATGAAGTTTAAGAAAATTATTTCTTAAAATAACCATTTTATTGGATTTTAGTTAAGCTAATTTTATTTATTTCATTTATTTATAAAAATATAAAAATTTCGGATAGTTAAAAATTACTTAACTGCGAGGAAATCATCTATGCATGCATTTCTAGAATATTGGTAAATATGAAGTAAATTTCAAAATGCACAACTACAGTCAAATCTCCCATTGACGAACACTAACCGTTCCAGTCAGAATGTCTAGCTAATAGAAAGTTATAATATAAATATGTATATGCAGCTGTCTCATAGCTAAAATTTCTCTGTATAATAATCTGATAATCTGTTAATCTGATAACCTGTGATTCAAGCCAATTTCCACTTCAATTTAAGTCTCTCAATTTATTAAAGTTGACTTAATAGGAATTTGTCAACTTAACTTTTGAATGTATTTGATTTTAATTCAAATATCATTGTGCTACTCTGTAATGTATTTGATTTTAATCTTAAAATGTTTTAGTTACGTACTATTACAGAAAGGGGGTCAAAAGTTATCACCCTATTAAAGACAACCTCAAAATTTTTGCAAATGGCCCTAAAGAGGTGTATTATAAATGCACACGTTCGGTGTTTTAAACGATGTAAAAAGAGTCCATCAATACTAATAATAAATAAGAGCCCTAATTAATCAATGACAGTAAGACAATCCCGTTTCTATTACATTTAATTAATATGTATTATATTATTCCAACTACCACATTGTGTACTAAAAATTAAAATTGAAGAATACGTTTCTTCCAGCCTTAAAAAAAAAGGTATATAATAAATAACTTAAAATTAAATTAATAAGCAATTCAGATATACTACAATTGTGTGCTGAACTAATTTATTAAATAATTATTTTAATTTTAGGAAATATTATGTACCCATATGAATTGGATAGAAAAATATATTACTAACAAGACTGGACATAATATAAACCATTTAGCTTTCGCGATAGTAAAATTAAAAAGTTAATCGAAATCTATAAAATCTATTTACAAAAATATGTATTAAGAGGAAAATTGAGTAAAATATGCAGAAAAATAAAAATTTCATAACGAAGGCTCATACCTTTTTTTCTCTAAGAGATCTCGTCATTGATCTGAACAGAGATTTGTACATTCATCATCCTTGAATCCATGCAATATCAATACAACTACAGTTAAATAAATGTAAAATACATATGTATATACATATGTAGTTAAATTAAGAGTCATCTGCCTATAATACACAGTTTAATCATTCTTAAGTTCACGGCATAAAAAAGTCTCTCCCATTTATCGCAATTTCAAAATGGGTAAGAATCATCGAATTACCCATTTGCAGTAGGCCAGCCTTAAACACACACATATATGCTCACATATACAATCACACTCACACACATGCACATCTAAATAGTGGCCATTACCTGTGTTTGGCCTTTTTGAATGTCATGACCAACTTAGCGCTTTGGCCGTTTTTCCCATCTTTTTTCTTCGTCTTCTTCTTCTGCATCATTTTCCCGCTTTGCTGCTTTGTGGCATGAATTGTAATTGTGCAACAAAATGCACTGAGCAAATTGTGCGGCAAAGCAAAACTGGGCAAAATAGTTAAGTAATTTACAGTGAAAAGCGGCATTTAGTTGGCATTGGAGAAATTCGATTTGCTGAGCCGTATAACAATTTCAAATTGCCGTGAGTATGTATGTCACGTGACAGATGAATAATGAATAATAGTCAATATACATATTCATATTCTATTTAAAAGTATCTAGATAAGGACTTTGGGATTACTGAGGATATTTGAGCGGGAGATATGTATATA